ATCCATTTGAAAAATTAGAAGAAAATAGTGCTATTTTTTCTCAATATTCTTTAGTATGTGTTTGAAATAAAAATAAGAAAATTTTGAGTATAAAAAGAGGTTGATAGCTTGAAATTATAGGTGGGGAAATGGGGAAATAATTAATAAGGAACCTTTTCAAAAAGAAGAGAAAACTGTGGGTGTTAATTAATGCAAGTCAAGATTATTACATATCATTAATAATCGCCTAAGATGAATTGAATTTCTCCATTTTTACTTAGACGTATCGAGTCTAAGTTAGTGAAAATAAAAATAGACCTTTAATTTGTATATATAAGGAGCGCGTGATTCTTCTCAGTGTTTTAAAAGGCGGGGCGTGAGGCGAGGCATTTTATACAGTACGAGGTAAGGCGTAAATTTCGAGACACGAGGCGTAAGTCCTATGGATCTACGGGGCGTAGTCTCATGTATATTCAATTTTATAGTTTTATTACTAATAAAATAAGCAAAAGTAAACCTTTAAATGATTTACAAATAATTTTTTATAAATAACCTATAATATATAAAAAATTATATTATGATTTTTATTTGAGATAAGTATTAATAATCAATAATGAAGAAAAAAGAGTATTATAATTACTATTTGAGAAATATCATTACATCAATAATAAAAAATATGACTTAAAGCAAAAAAAGTTAAAACAATAAATAAAAAACGCTCATGTCTACGTTTTTACACCCATCACTTATATTTTTATGCTGAAGACTTATGCCTCAAATTTTAAAACTTACGACTTATGAATTTACGTCTTTAATTTACACCAGAAGCGTTTTTGGTACGCCCGCCCCGAAAATCGCCGAAAAACTCGCCCCAAAACATTTTTGAAAACACTGACTCTTCCTTTAATGAATAGGACGCCGCATGAATCAGGTTCAATATATCAAAACTTAAAGCAGATCGATGAGACATTGAATGAGAAAATCGAAAATAGAAAAGGATACATATTTTTTTTAATGATAATATACATTAATATTATTTAAAAAATTATTATAAAATTAATTATTTATACGACTTATTTCAATGTTACAAATGGATGAAAAAGATGGGATGGAAAAAACGGTGGAGTTGGGAGTTAAGTTATATCTTTACAACTACCTCCTAATACTCACTAAATTTGGACAGAAAATATTAATTAAGACATGACACTAAACAATGTAAAAAGTATGAAGTGTTGACTTTTACAAACATTTATGTTACATTCTTGGCTTTTTGTGCAAAATTTTTTAATTCTCCGTTCATTTTTATCGGTTCATATTTGACTTAATATATCTGATATATTGATTTCATTTTATTTTACTTGTCATAACTTTTCTTTGATAGTCAAACGATATGGAGCTTTGATTAATATGTTAAGATTAAAAGAGTAACAAGTAAAATGAAACGGAGGAGTAACTTTTTATCATAAATAGGAAGGTGAAAGTTAACACATTAAAATTGTGGCGGGATGAATATAATTTCTCATCTTAAATTAAAAGAAGGATATTTGTGATCGATTTTCATAAGTTAAAAGTATTTTTGACTCTTTTTTATTACGAAATTTAAAAAGTAGTAATTTTTTTTCAGTATTATAAAAATGATACTCCTATGTTTTTACATGAGTAACTCATTTTGTTGCTGTCATATTTGTCTGTCCTTTGCCTAACAAATGTCCAAATCATGATTTTTTCATTTAATAATAGCCAATTTTATTGTTGTAACTTGTAAATTGCAACTCAGCCTATATCTTGCTAATTTTATTGGGGAAACTATCATTAAAAACCAAATTAACTTTTAGTAGACTATTAATTGGTGTTCACTCTATTACTCTATTATTTTCATTATTGAACATAAATTAATAATACAATTATTTGTTGTACTTTTTCATTTATCAATAGTTAATAAGTAGGTAGGACTATAATAGTGACAGAGTCAGAATTTTTTCTGTTTTGAGTATATCCAAGAAAAAGAGATTTCATTCCTAGCTAAAACTTCAAGTCGATTTGAAAAATCGAGAAAAATAACTTGATCTTACATATAATATAATTTTCGATTAAAGAAATTAGAATGAAACCCCTCACAACTTGTGCCTCTAACTTTGCCCCTACAATCGAGATACTAGTCTTACAACACATGAGCAAGATCCATCGACGAGTAGTCAAACAATCTTCTTAAAGACTTTGAGATCTCAACCGAAAATTTCAAAAGTTATTTGTTTTAGAGTAAAATTAAATCTAAATACGATTGCTTTACTTAGTTTAAGTATTTTGATAAGGAAATATATATTTATTAGAGTAATGAATGAAGAAAAAAAAAGAAATCTATACTATATAATTAAAACAAGAAATGGGAGTTTGAGAGCAATAAATATAAGGAGGTCACAATTGTTGACTGTTAAACAAAAAAAAAATACATAAAAGGTGGGGGTGGGGGGAAATTAATATAGCATGTGAAGTTAGTTGTATCTTCAAACTCCAGAAAGGCACAACTCTACTCACATCACATGCGGTGGACTGTCTGAAACCGAAATATTTATTTGTATCGAGTGTTTAGACATGATCGTATAGGTACTTTTTATCTTACGTAATGTGTGAAGATAGCATCATCGAATGCGTACAATATAGACTAGAGATGAATAAGATTTTTTTACTTTTTATAATTAGAAATTTTAAATTCTAGATATGAGAATAGAGATACGTGAGGTAGGCTCAAATTATTCTAAAACGGTTATGAGGAACTAAAATTTCCATTTTAGTAAATCCTTTTATATAGTCAAGTGAACTTTTATACATATCTTCAAATTTTTTTGAGGGAATTTCAACTAGTGCTATGTTACATAATTGACAAAAACAATTATTTTGGTTTATTCCCTTTTTGATGTTGTAGAAATCTCAAAAGTTTGAAACTACTATCATTCAAATTAATACTACTCCAACAATAATAACAAATAGAGTGTAATTTTATAAATAAGATATAGAGATCAGTAAGATGTTCACAATCTTATTTCTATCTTTACATAATCGAAAGATTATTTCTGACGAACTCTTGACAAACCTCTTTCTTTATCTGAGTTTAAAATCAATATTGTAAACGAGCTCTTACAGACGTAGTTAAATAATAATATACTAGTCCAACAACAATAACAAATATAGTATAGAGATTAGTAAGATATTCACAGTCTTATTCCTATTTTTACAAGACAGAGGAATTATTTTCAATTAGCCTTCAACAATTCTCTTGCTTTATTAAACTTGAGATCGATAATGTAAACGAATTTTCACGTTAAATGATAATGTATACAATAAGTAAAAAACAAAAAGAAGGATAAAATATGTGTCATAATTTTGTGTCAGTGTCAGCATCTTCAAGTTCAGTGAACATAAGATGGCAAAGTGGTGGATTTAATATGGCACACACACCAAAAATTAAAACAAAATTCAACTCTATCCATTTTGTCCTTACCTTTAATTAAATATTATTTTTCCCAATCTTGGAATATGGCTATTTTTAAAAAAAATTATATTGATGGATGGTTGGGACAATATGTTAACAAAAAACTAACTTAATTGTCTAAGATGGTTTGGATGTTTTTGTGATGGTAGTTAAAAGCACAATGAATATCCTTGAAACATGGCTATAGTCAAATCTTTGTATGACGAAATCATTTGTCTGGATATATTTTGACTGCTATAACAAAATATTCATATAAAAAATATGTATAATATAAAATAATATGAGAAAATAATTGAAAAATAGGTTATTATAATCATAAAACTTTATATTATAGAAAGGTTAACTGTATTTGATTAATCATGTTATTTCTAATTTTTTTTCCGACAAGCACATACATTACACGTATATATTGAGTTATGTATTTCATGATTTTGTAAAGTGATATTAATATTACTAAAACAAAATTTAGAATGAATAATCATATATACACGATGTAATAAAGTATAAGTTTTTGTGAATGATTAATATTGTATAGTAAATTGCTCGTCGAGGTCAAAATGATTAAATATTGTCTGATCCTATAAAAAGAAACTCTCAGAGTTAATTATATAATTTATTTTTACTTATTTTAAAATTTTGTTGAACTTGAGGTCATTTTAATAATGTGATTTTAATTTGCAAAACTTTGTATCAACAAGACCGCATAGCGCAGTGGATTAGCGCGTTTGACTTCGGATCAAAAGGTCGTGGGTTCGACTCCCACTGTGGTCGCTTCTCTTTTTCGGATTCAACCGAACTCAATACTAGAGTCCACTCGATGCCTTTTTTTATATTTTGCGGATTCAACCGAACCCAATACTAAATTCAACTTGAACTATTTGTATATAATCATACATTATGATCACGCTCGTTCTGAACCTGCCAACTTTAATTATTTAGCTCCTCCATTCATGTCTCTATTTCTTCATAACCTTTTTAGACGGATTTTGTGAATTCAATTGAAATCACTAGTGTCAACTCGAAGCCTTGAGTTATTCGTATATACGCACATTAAAAAAACTAAAGTGTGTGTGTGAGAGTGTATATATATTACATTACACATATCACGCTCATTCTGAACATATTGACTTTTAATCATTGAATTTACCTTTTGCTCTTACATTCACATGGTGTCCTCCCTAATTCATGTACCATTTATCGTCACGTAAAGGAAATGTTTTCTCATACTTCATTGATTCAAATTGTTGGTGCACAAAATATAAACTCTTACGTTTACGATGTCTTCTATAAGCCCAATTATGCCCAATAGGCCCAATAATACTCGGTGCACAAATTACCATTTCATATAGAACAACCAAAACATTTTTTCCAGTATAGTACTACAAAAATACAAATATTTTAACCATTACATTAAATAAATAACTACAATAGTGAAAGGCAGCATACTTATATCTTAGCTGCTTATTCACATTATAAATGAATTTCAAATAAAGATTACTCGAACGCTCAACTTGTTTGTAACTGAGCCGTAACTGTTGTAGTACTTTCAAGAATTTGGAACAAACACTCCAATGTAGCCAAATCCAGCTACAAGAAAGGCCATGCCTTGCAAGAATAAGTATATGTAGAATCTATTCTTTCCGAACGAGTAGTCGTACCATCCACAAAGCATAAGGTACAACCCTACGAAAACCTCTGCGAAATGTACCTTGTTGTACCACTCTCCAATACGAAAACGAGACTTCTTGGATACTTTCATGCTCGTTTTTGCCTTGATTCCATCTCCCAATTTCTCCGTCACGACCCATTCATTGACCTTCCCTACCTCAAATAGTCCGATGAACGTTGCCCTCGTTCGATGAAGGGACATTACATTCTCAAACAAGATCCAGAAAATCAATAAATAGAATGATCTACACATCAAAACGAACAAAACAAGAATCAAGAAAAGAATAAAATTGGAAATTATTAAGACATCAAGCCCAAGTGACAAATTAAATCTGTGAGGTCTATTGGACCATACAACAAACAATACGTGTCATGGGCTCGGATCACGAGACCAATTGTTTATTTTATTTACCTTGGAGTCCCTACAGCATTGAGGAGGGTAATTGTTGAAGGAATATACACAGCACCCCATATAGGAACTTGAACTTCAGGGATCAAAACAGTGGTAGGCATAATAACACAATAAAATATAAATGTAACAATATGTGCAATGATTTTTCTCACAAAGAAGAAGCTGTAGATCAAATAAAACTTCTTCCATATTGAGACTTTCTGCAAATATCAAAGTTAAAAAAAAAAATATTATCATACTATCAGGTCACGTAAAAGATATATAACACTACATGAAAAAATAGTGTACACTATAACAAAAACAGTTTTTAGCGCCAATAGATATACATATAAATAAAGAGTGCTAAAGTCTTTACCAGCATTAATTAATTGTTATTTGATCCAATGTCGCTACAGGCTTTAGGGACATTTACAAAGAATGTTAATTACCGCTAAAAATACATATTATACTGCTAGTGTATATAAGTTAAATAGTTTTAGTCTTTACAAAAAATGTTATATAAGGACATTTACAGGCTTTAGGGACTTTATCGTTGCTTCAAGGTTTCATTTCACTAACAATATAATATAGTGTAGTATTTAAGTGTAAAATTATTATACTACTAGTGTATTAATATAAGTTAAATCCGTACTAAATAAAAAGGGGTATATGGCTTATAACTCACCTTATTTGAAGCAATTTCCCCAACCATTTTCTTGAAAAGATTAGCAGGTCCACAAGACCATCTATGCTGTTGATAACGATAGGCCTTGAAAGTACTTGGCAATTCATTTTTCACCTAATTGAATTTTTTTTCAAAAAGAAAAAACAAACGCATAAATAGAGCAATATGGATAGTAATTATTCATAAAATTGACCCTTAACTTACTTAAGATTGAGACATAATTATTATTAGGTGAAACATAACAAATTAGCCGGTGATATATAATATGTGTAATAATCTATAACGAGTTTAATATACGTATATGATTAGAAAAACTAAACACTAACATCATATATTTTATTTTATTTTACTTAGATAATGTAAGATTATGGGACCCTTTTCATCCTATTCTTTAACATTAAATTTAACTTCCAATCATTTGTTTTTTTCAGAGTGTTTGTTGAAGTTACTTCTAAAGAAAATGATTTCTGACATAGTTCCACTGGCTATTTCTGCAGATTTTAACTTTTTTTATACACATGGTTTACTTCATACGCGACTTCAAAATCTAGAGTCAGTACGTCTAGAAACGAATGTGATTCCACTAATTTATGACTTTTACGCACTGCTTGGGCCGAGCTACACTACCAAGACATCTCTATTCAATTAAAGACGTCCATGCCATAAAATGAGACTAGGGATCCCATATTCCCCTATTTATGCATATATATGCATATGATTCGAGCAAAAAGCAATATATTTAGTTGAACTTACAGAACTCGTACTGAACGTACCTTTAAGTCACCAACGTAGACAAATTTCCAGCCTTTGAGACCGGCTCGAACGGCGAGATCCATGTCTTCCACTGTTGTTCTATCTTTCCATCCTCCAGCTTCATTAAGAGCTGAAATTCTCCACACTCCAGCAGTTCCTTTCAAATTGAACAAACTCGTGATGATTTATAACATACTGAATTTTATTCACTATAACAGTAAAGTCAATAGTTGACTATTTTGACCATCACGTTAAAGTAACTGAACTTTTGTGTTGTACATATATAGCCTTACCATTGAAGCCAAAAAATGCATGATTTGATGATCCAACTTCTTGCTCCACTTTGAAATGGTAATCAAGTGACATTTCTTGCATTCTTGTTAACAAGCATTCATCAGAATTCACTACAATTAATAACAATTTACAACAATTATTTTTTTGGTCAACATCTACCATAATTTTCATATGAAACTCAAGTGGTAATTACAAAATGGTCACACAATTCAACACAATCGTTAGAGTTCAAATCTCAACGTCACACACAAAAGCACGTTATGAGACGATGTGTTAAGAAAAATGTAACAACAGAGTCATCTGGAAAGGATAGAGTGTACGCAAGCCTTACCCCTACCTCAGAAGTAGAGAGGTTGTTTCTCATAGTCGTTCGGCTCAAGGAAAAAACAAATCAAAGCAATAACAACAAAGCATGTTGAACAATAACTACAAACAAAATAATACAATAATTAAAGTACAAGAAACAACAGATCGAAAATAACCAAGATACTACAAGAGTAATACTATGACTAAAGGGATTAGCTAGACAGACAACAGTCTACTACCTGCTAACCTACTACCCTAATACGAGTCAAGGAAAAAGGCATTTACCAAATTTCCAACGAGCTTGAACGAGTCCGATTTCGGGGTTGTGTACAAGAAAAGGGACAGTTCTCAACAAGAAATCAAATTCAGGTTGAAAATCAGCATCAAATATGGCTACAAAATCACACATTTTCACATAATTATGCTTCATTCCTTCCTTCAATGCCCCAGCTTTGTACCCTTTTCTATTGTCTCTTATTTCATATTTGATGTTCACTCCTTTACTTGCCCATCTCTTGCACTCTTGTTCCACCATTCCCTATAAAAAAAACAATTTAAGCTATTACACTCTATCTCGTCATCAAAAAGATAATTACGTGCTACAACAAGTAAAAATAAGTATTTTTTATACAATCGGTGTGTATAAGTTAATCGTTAGGTTATATATATCGATACAATCAATGTAGCTTAAAATGTGATAGTAGGTCATTTACAAAGTATATATAGAGAGAGAGAGCGCTCAGACTCTTTAAAAATATTGTTGTTTAGGTGTTGAATCCTCCATCTTAGCATTGTTGGAGGATCAGAAACAAGTACGATAATATATTCCGAGCAACATAACATTTACCATGTTTATGAATTATGATGCTACTAATTAACTTATGTTCATCATACAAATTTTAGGATACTTCCTCTTTAGAATTACAAAACATTTCAAATAATATTAGAAAAAATATATTTTTTCTTCCTACAAATTATGGAAAATTAAGGTATTAATTGGACCTTAATGATAGGATCAGTTGAATCATCAAGAACTTGAATTAAAATTCTATCAGCTGGCCATGAAAGATTACAAGCAGCTCCAATAGACAATTGATATACCTGCAAATGAACAATTTTCAAGAAGATTTTAACTTCGATAGCTAAATGAATTTTTACACTATCAGATCATATAAAACATGAAGTAATGTCTATATGTAACACGTTCATGATAATTGATATTAGTGAGTCGATAAGTAAGGCAAATCGTACGAAAAGTTCTATAAGTTCCAATTCTTCTTATGTCAATATGATGAAAAAATATATATTTTAAAATATAGGTCAACAATAACAACTATATTACGCCTCAATCTCAAATAAGTTGAGGAAAGGAAGAGAGTTGTGATAGGCTGACAACCAATGTAAAACTTGTCAATTCACGTCGAATCTTCATAATACATAAATTTTAAAATGTTGGTCGAAGAAGTTCATATAATTTGAATCTCGATAAGCAAATTGAAAATTTGTATTACCTCTCTTTCATTATACATTGGTATTTGAATTAATACCATAGGATAAGAAGAATTTGCTAGCTCCAAATCATCTTTTATTGGCTCCCATTTGTACTTCTTTTCTGGTTTTTGCCTTAAAATCTTGATAAATACTATGACAATTCCCATATAAACTTTCTCAACAAATAACATCAAAGACATTGCCAAACATAAAATAACCGTAATTTTAAGAAATGGCACAAGTAATGGTGCTCTCACTTGTTGCCAAAACAATCCAATTTGGCTAGTAATTCCATGATCAAAATAAATATTCAAGTCCATTTTCTTGGCTATATCTTAAATATATTTTTCTTTAAATATAATTTAAGACAGCCAAGAAAATTGTATAATGTGAAAAAAGAGAAAAAAGTTTGAGGTGTGAGTAGATAGAGAAAGAGCTAAGAGATGGTGCTATATATAGAGATAGTATATATGTTTGTGCAAGGTGTTAAGCTTACGTATATATCGTTATTATATAGAGTAAAGCTTAAGATTATTTTTTGAGTTCATGATAAAAAATAAAAAAACATATACATTTAAAGTATCTCGGCTTTTCGAGTTTCATATCTGAAGTATTAGGTAGGCAAGAATTTCTAACCTGAACCACCATGAAATGTTTATCGTAACATACCTCAAATATCAATTGTTCTTTTTTCATATCTAAAATATCACAATCGTTCAAGTAAGAAAAGAGAACAATTGATAGTTGAGGTGTGTTTCGATATACATTTGGTGATAGTCCATATAAGAAACTAACACATCTGATAGTTCAAGTATGAAGCTCAAAAAATTGAGATACCTAAAGATATGTTTTTTATTCTTTACTCTTAATTTAATTTATAATAAGGCTGATTTGAACATTTAATTTTGTTTATTTAAAGTGATTTCTTTTTCTTTTGGTAATTTTGTTTTATTTTAGAAAAAAATAAACAAAGAAGTATGGTAAAACATAAAGGACAAATAAAGTTACTCAAAACTTCAATTTCATCCAACTTTATTTATGGAAACAAGCTAAATTTGAATCTTTTTCTTCAAAAATTCCGGTTCTTTTTTTTTTCCTTTTATATATAATAATAAAATCAATTTTATAATTGGAGTTCTATCTAAATACTAATTGCTCCATTAGATAATTATTTTTGGAAAGGAGACCATCACTATTTATTTAACATGAAAATGAGAAGAAAAGGCCAAAAAATAGACAAAATAGATAAAATTTTGATCATAAGAAAAGCTTTGTCTATGTCTAACTTTATTACTCCCTCAGTTCAATAATAGTTATTTACGACTCTATTTACTTAGCACAGAGATTAAGAAGCAGTAAATGATATGAGTAATTTTACCAAATTATCCTTATTAAATATAAGTCATCTAAACATTGAAAAATGAATCGTACTTAATAGCAAGGTTAAAATAGACACAAATAGTAAATTATTCATTATTTTATAAACCGGACAAGTATTGTTTAGACGTCTCAAAATAGTATATTTAAAAAGCATATGAAATTACGGTAAAAAGAGAACTCAATAATTTGATTCTCAAAATTCAAATAACACCACATAAATTGAATCGGATTGAGTAACAAAGTTTAGTAACCATACCACATATATTGAATGTTGCTTTGTTAAAAGAAGAAGAATGATATTATATCTATATGCAATTGTTGCTTTAATTAGGTTTGTGTGGGGACTATATAGGCCTTTGATTTTTGCTTTTGTGCTACTCCAAAGACTATATATCTTTGTCAGTCTCTTTGAAACTAAATGGGACAATGGGGTATAACAGAGCCACATGCAAAATTATAATATCATCCACCAAACCCAAACTAACTATTTGAAAAAAAATAAAATAAAAATTACATACACATGGCTTAATTAATTTAGTATACTAATTTAATGTACTGTAAAAATCTTGGTTTTGTAAGAAGTATAGTGCTTATAGGGTGTGTTTGTTTTGAAAACAATCAATTGTATAATTTGTGTTTGTATAAAGCAAGAAAGAGAGAAAGACAAAAAGAAAATTGGGCAGGAGAAGATCGTATTTGTATAATCATAAGTGTATAGGACAAAAATATATGCATTTGTATTTGTATATACAATTTTCTCTCGCATTATACAAACACAAACGCAATGTATACATTTGTGTTTGTATAAAGTGAGAGTGGCGAGCGAGATCTGAGAGAGGGGAACGAAAAATATAATAATTTTTCTCTCGCTTTATACAAACACAAACGCATTTTATACATTTGTGTTTGTATCAAAGCGAGAGAGGCAAGGGAGACTGCCCAGCGAGAACGAGAGTGGCGAGTGAGATTCACCAGGGAGAGCGGCAAAATAGCAACAGTTTGCTACGGGGTACAATTAAATCAAACTATGATTATAACATTTAATTTGAATTAATAGTTTGCTATTATATACAATTTCCCTAAAACATAAAGTACAATAAGATTTGTATTTATGTAATTTTTTAAAATTTTATGAGAAAATACCATTCTTGAGACTCACTACATAAATAATAGTACCTTTTTTTATAGGAGAAACTATATAATTAGACATACTCATCTATCTTATATACTATTATTACCTATACTTTCAAAATATTACGTATATTACTACTAATCAAAAGTTTTGTACCATATATTGAAGAAGATAAACTTAGATACATGTATTTTTCCAAGCAGGTACATCAAAATAGGGAGAGAGTTGAGCGAGTTGGAGAGGGAGGTGAGCCAGATTTGTTATGTATTTTAGATACACGAGAATTACACTAGATACATGTATTTGTATGTATCTAATGTAATTCGTATCTAGGATAAAGATACATAGAAGAGTGGCGAGCGAGATGTATGTATCTGGTGTGATTCGCATGTATCTAGGATATCAGATACAGAGGAAAATAGCGAGCGATATGGGAGAGAGGTGAGGGAGGCGAACAAGATTTGTTCAGTATCCCATATATATGCGAATACACTTGAATACAATGTATTTATTACAAATTATACCTAATTTTGACCTCATTTTTCTCGAGATATATGTATTTGGACATACCAAAATTTAATAGGATTCATAGTATTATAAACTAGAGTATATTTAAGTAATTAGCTCCTAAACTAATAAATTTTCTTTTTTAATATTACAAATATCAAATATGTGCGTCAACTGCCAACATAGAATAGTTAATCAATTCAAAAAAATACATAATAAAATATCTAGTTTATTATGTGTAAAAATTTACATGTTCACCTGTTTTTGCAATAATTTTATATATATGGTGTCTGAAATTTTTTATGGCTAAAGTTTACATATAAATGATTGAAATTCAATTATTTTTGTATAAAATTCAGTCACATATAAATTAAACCATCTATCTTATGGGAGTCAAAAATCTTTAGTTTGAATCTATCATATGACTTGAACTCAAACTTATTTAAAATAAAATAGATAACTTAGCCTATTTCAAAATTATTTTTATTTGACACGTTTTACTTTTCATAAATTAAATTCAAAATATGTTTTTCATTATATTAATATAATAATATGAGAAAATAGTTTGTTAGAAATATTGGGGTCTTAATTAACAAATTAAACTTATTTGGTGTCTTATTCCAATTTCCAAAGTATAGTCGGAGAAGGATTACAGTGACGGCGAATTTGTTTATAAATATATCAGCGGCGAATTTGTTTGTTTGTTAGTTTGTTTATTTTCCGATGGATGGAGAAAAAACAGTTTATTTTCCTGTGGATGAAGAAAAAGCAGTTTCTTTTCCGGTGGACGAAGTAAAAGAAGTTTGTTCTCCGGTGGACGAAATAATGTATTTTCCTTTTCCGATAAACGGAGGAGGAGAGGAAATTGCTGTATCTCCGCGGAGCCGAGATGATATGACAGTATTTGAGATACGGGGATTTACTAGTTGCGTATATAATGGTCGATTACTCCGTAAGTTTTCTCTAATTTGTGAATTAGGGTTTTGGAGATTGAAAACAAATTTTTTTAAGTCTTTTCAATAGTTGAATGAATGCCTTTGTGAAAATCGATGCTGAATTGTTGTTTTTTCTTCTTTGTTTTAGCGGAGTTGTTGTGGTGGGTTTTCAGTTGTTTTCCACCAATCTGTTTGAGCGTTGCCTTCAGTTATTTCGTGGCATATCCCTTACCTCTTGATGAACTAATCTGCGGCTTGAGCTTGTATTTCTACACGTTATTTCAATCCGCCGTCATCCTCTACCTTTTGTTGAACAATTATTGGTATCCCTGTAGAACTCCTTTCCGATCAATGGGCCCCAAAGGGAAATTTATGATCGAATTCATCCCCTCCCTAACTGCTGCAGCTTTGAATTTGAATTTGTTGAATGATAAGGGGGGGTTATGGCAGTTTTTAGAGTTAAATTATGGATATTTCTTCCTATTGTTAGGCTGCACAGGATATTTCTACATTATTTCTCACTTCATGCGTAGAGCGTATGATATTAGTGGAAAAGATGTCATGTTGGGATTAGCAATGCAAACCTTTTGCTTTATGGCGAATGGGATGTTGTTTGTTAGAGCCATCGCTTTGAGCTTCTGCTTTGGTATATCTATCTACAGATACGTGACATATTCCACTCCTCCTGCATTACCTCGTCCCAAGATGGAGTTATTGCCTTACTGATCTGAAGGGTACTGTTACCGGAAGCCTTTCTTTTAGTTCTGTTGTTATTTTGGACCTTCTCTAATTTATTAGAATGCCTTTAATTTTCAGTAATGTTCTCTCTTTACTTCGTTTGCAATATAATCTGTCTTGTTCCTCTAACGGATGTGTTTATATGACATTTCTTATGAAGAGCCGTTTAAACTATATATGATGAAAGGTTATTTTGTTGTCTATTTTCCTTACCGAAGCTTTATGTTTGTAAAATGGATCGAGCTCCTCCTCTCTTGCATTTTGTAGTATTACAATTCCTTGATTTGTCCCGCATTCAATATTCATAACGTCTAATATGCTACTTGTCACGACTCGATTTCTCGAGTCATGATGACACCTACTATAACCCACTAGTAGGTAAGCCAACCCGTAACCGGAACAACGAGTAATGGGTCTACGGACAGAAACTAAACAAGAGTAAGCAAAGTTTAAGATAACAATATAAACAGGCGGAAGCAAATCAAAACATATATATACAAATAAAGATCCCTCCCAGAACCTGAAAGTCACTAGTATAGAGCTACTAACAAAACGAGTACAAGTCCCAAAAGTGGACCACGGAAACTGGACTATCTCGAAAGGCAAAAGACAAGTTTGTATATACAAATGGAGACTGAAATAGTACAAAACGTCGAGTGCTCACCCCCGTCTCTGGAT